GGAAGAATCCATTACATTCAAATTATTAGTAGCACATGGTATCACATTAGTGTCTGTTCATGATAAATGTTGCTGTTATCTATGAGACAGACATTTAAAAAAATATTACTGAGATTTGGTTCAAGTAAAAAACATGATTTATTTTACACAGTAAAACTAAGTGGTTATAATTTTAGTAAAAATGTGGAGGTACCACTTTAATGCTTATTCAAATAAATATGTTTTGTATTCTGTTACTAAAAACATGCACATTTAGCCCTGGCCAGTTTGGCTCAGTGGTTAGGGCGTCGGCCTGCAGACCAGAGAGTCCTGGGTTCAGTTCCCGCTGAGGGCATGTACCTCCGTTACAGTTTGTCCTCGGCCCCAGTTGGGGCCGTGTGGGTGGCAAGCAGTCGATATGTCTCTCTCACATCGATGCTTCTCTCTCTCTTCCTCCCTCTCGCTCTATCTGAAGATAGATGCAAAAATGTCCTCCGGTGAGGATGAAAAAAAAAAAATGTCTCTTAGGCTTAGGAGTAGTAAGAACCTGTAACTCTGCCATTTCCACATCTGGAACATAAGATTAACTGTGGACGAAGCAACCCTACTACAGATATTCTTCCTATCCCACCCACACAACTTAGCTTAACTGTTACTGAGTAAATCCCTAATGGGCAGTGTGATTCAACTGAGTTAAACCAACATATTATTGTCAGTATGTGTTTGTGTGTGGAGGGGTTCTCTTTAAAATATTAGCAGTGATAGACCAACCAACTAATAATTAAAAATCTCTGTGAAAGGGACCCAGTGCAGGCAAATTTAAACCATTAAAGAGAGAAAAAATGATCATAATAGGAATGCTTTTTATAGTCAGGTGGGAAGGCAATGTTAAATAGTCAGTGTAAAGGCACTAAGCACCTGTTAGGAGATGGGTGGGTGGAGCTCATATGAAAAATGAGAGAAACATGGGCCAACTATCTTTTACTAATAGCTGGTAGCAAAATTCTCAATTGAGAAAAAGGCTAGATCCATTTTACCAATACCTTTTAGTAAAACACTCAATTCAGAAGAAGGCTAGAGCAGAAGCCATAAAGAGCTACAGAACTACAGACTGGCCATGGAGGCAGAAGGTGAATGCAAATCACATTGAGGAGAGAATTCAACAATAGGAATAAAAGGATAGAAACTGGCATTTAGTGTTTACTATGTGTTGAGGGGATAAAACATGAATATATATATATATATATATATATATATACACACACACACACACACACACACACACACACACATATGGTATAAAAGCATGTATATAGATAGACAGACACACAGACATATATATTTGTGTGTATATTTCTCTATATATCTATATATATGAAATCTATATATGATATCCTCATCAGATTTCTACAAGGCAGGCATTATCATCCTTCATTTTCAATAGGAAAACCCAGACTCAGAGAGTTTAATAACTTGTTAATGGTCACACAAGAAGTAAGAAGCACAGCTGGACTCAGGTTATTTGTTGAATTTTCTCCTTATTTTTTTTATATGGAAACAACAGGAAAATTAAAAGCATTCTAGGTTTTAAAAAATGATATATTTAAATGCAGGAGAGAGGCAGAAAATTGCTCACTTCCTCCAAATGTTTAATGTTAGAACTGAATAGAACCCATCTCTCCACCCAGTTTCAACTCAAAATATAAGAGGTAGAAATTACATTCAACATTTTCCTTTGAGTGTCCCCAAGAGTCCTTTCCCCCTAAATACATTGATTTGAAAACTAATATTTCTCAAAATGTGTGGGTCAAATAATTGGATGCATATACTTGGCTATAGTACAAGCTATGCATAGGTTTCATGGGGCATAATTTCAAAGATAATGGAAAAACACTGCTTCCAAAAAGAACACTGTCTCACCTTCCCCTTGGGACTTAAATTTTATAATTAAACATCTGTGTGTCTTTTATTACAATGTATATACATATAAAATTCCATATAGAATAATATTTGCCTTATTTTTAATGACTTTTGTCACATTTTCCCCCAGGAAACTGCTTTCCATCTCTGAAAAGCATCACCTGATAGTGGAGAGGGCATATAATGAGAGAGAGGAACTGTGGAGTAAAGAAAATAAGGTGGAGATGATCAAGACTTTGTCATCCTGTTACATCACTGCACAAAAAGACATTATGGTGGAAATGACTTCTAACTGTTACATTATGTTTGTAAGTTCAACGAGGTTTTCCAAGCAGTCAGTTACAGGCAAGTGTAAATGGCGAATGAACCTAAAAGGTCAGTGATTACATCTGCTACCTACATTGTGGTATTTCACCTTCAAATCTAATGTTGCCTCTTTATCTTGCAGAATAATGTAATTTTTTTGTCCTGCCATTCTCTACACAAAACTACTTATACCAGAGGGGCTAAAAAGCAACTCTCAATCTAATCTGTTTTGCAAATTTGACAGTGACATCAAAGAGCAGGAAGTTGTCTGTGAGTAATGACACTGCTCATTTGTATAAATGTCAAACTTAACCTCATCAACTTTCAGAATATGTCAGTAAAGAATGCATTTCAGTTCAGCCAAAGAGGATTTCAGTGTCATTCAGTGCTGAACAAAACAGTTGTCAGTATCTTGAGAGCAGACTGCATTGAGAAAATCTTTCTTTTTAAGCTAAATGGAATTGGCCATTTCAGCACTTAGAGCTATGGACAGTGCTATTTTAGGTAGTCAAACAATTTGTCTTACTATAGAGGTATTTCCTTCTTGAGATTAAAAGACTCCCCCGATTAGCAAGCATGTACCCCTAATCTATTCAATTAGGACATAAAGATTATGCATCACAGGTCTGTGCAAAGCCAGAATGAAATCACAAAAGAGGAGCAAATTTTATTACCAAGATTAAGCCTGAAATAAAATTAGAGAAGGGAAATAGTTATGATTTTATCTATTCCCAAAACATGTCAAAACTTTACTGCAACACAGTAACATTTCTCTCTGGCTAAGTTTTTATTGAAGAGAATAGGAGAGCCATTAACCCCTTGTGATAATTGATTGGCATTGGACATGGGCACTGAAGAGAATAGGAAATGCATTTACTAGGCTTGGGGACAATCTCTATATGCTTTCTAGCTCTAAAGTGGGATATCAGTGAAGATTTCTGGACATGAGGTTAGACAAAATGGATTTGAATCATGTTCCTTAATCAGTCATTTTAGTTCTCTAAGTCTTGCTTCTTCTTCTGTCAAATGTGGGTTACTCTGAGGTTTAAGTAAGAGAATAAATATGAAGGGGTCTGGCACACATTAGGTACTCAACAGATTTTCAATTTGGATTATTATTATAATGTTGGCATAATGCAGCAACATGTTGCTATACCAGTGGCCATGTGTCTTAATATTAGTTAGCAACCCTAAGGATGGATAGCAAAAAGAAGAAATGCAATATGGGCATTGTTATTGACAGACGTATCCTTATAACAAAGGGTCCTAATCATGTGTGTTTCCACCTTCATCCACCTTGTTTGCATGCCCAAAAGATTCTCTTATGTTTACCTTTAAAAAACTACCACCACCACCACCACCAACAACAACAACAAAAACTGTCTAAAATAATACAGGAAGAGCAAAGTAAAGTTCTCAGAGGAGTCTTACTTCTCTTATCAAATACTATTCTACCAACTTTCTCCAGAAGGCCTCTTAGTCATACATATACTACCAACTACGCTACCTGCTGAACTGGTGAGAGACTACTTTGAGTGCCTCCTGTGCAGACTGACACACTTGGAGAGAAAAAGCAAAAATGAGATTAGTGCTGAAAGCCGGATGAGTTCCTTGTCATCCTCCATTGCAGCTACAAATGATTTGCTTTGGACTCCAAAACCTCCCAGCCTAGGTCAACTTACGCTTCTTCTTCCCTTTTTATAACGGAAAGAGCATCTTCTCCTAGCCTCCCCCATCGCCTCCTGTTCTTTTCAACAGAGATTCCCTCCACACTGCCCTCTACATATGACCTGCCTCCCACTCTCCATTCATCAAGGTACATGCTCAGTCCATTCACAAGTCATGTTAAGTCCTCAAAGCCCTCCTGAAGCTCTTTTTAAGTGGATTACTCAGCTGCTCTAATAAACTCCGCCACCACAGCCACCATGTCGCCTTTGCTCCCATTCCCCAACCCTCAGAAATTGTGCAAAGGTAGGAAGTGTGGAGATTAGCATGCACACTTGGGAACAGATAGAGATAGCCTAACATTAGGCTTGATCTAGTTTTTGAAAAAAAAAAAAAAATCAGTTACAAATATTTCGGAAGCTTGGCAACAAGCACATTCTGGGTGGTGGTGGTGGTGGGGGGGTATATATATATAATCTCCAGCAGATGAATGAATGGACGAATGATTGCGATCTCTTTGGCACTTTTCTCAGATGCCCCTCCTTCTAGCTTGCTCCCAGCATGGTTCCTGTGTAATTCAGACTCAGTGTGTGAGTGCCCTTCCCTGCTTTGCCTCTGTCTCCACTCCCTGCCCTTTTATTACTACCTCTAGACAGAGCCTAAACCTCCTCGCCAAAGGGCACTGTCCCTCGCCCACAAATCCTTAGTGATTTCAAACGCCGAAGCAAGCTTGCTCCTTACAGGCACAGCTTTTCATCCTGCCAGCTTTACCTCTCCCCCATTCCCGGAAGCCCCCAGCCGTGCTCCAGAAAAGGATGACTAATTTCCCCACACTCAAATCCACCTGGAGACACCTCCGCTGCCCCTTTACGGGCACTTGTAACCCAGGTGCTGGCAAGAGAAACGCTATCCTCCGCTTCTCTCTGCAGAAAAAAAAAGGGAATCACCATTCCAAGGCTGGGTCCCGATTCCTAAAATCAGAAAACTTTCTTTCTTTTATAGAAAACCCCACCCCGATAGCAGCGACCTCTTTGTTTGCATCCCAGGGGGAGGGAGGGGTCTCAGAGCCTTGCAGCCGGGGCGAAGGGGACGTGACAGCCCTCTGGAGGGCTGCCGGGGACCAGACTCACCCAGGACGTTCCCAATGAGAGCCACCACGAACACGATGATGTAGCCGGCGATCAGGACCCACTCATATTCTTTCGGGTGTAGGTATTCCCTCCACAGGTACCGCAGGAATTCCTCGTCGTCATAGTCGGTGGGGTTTAAAAAGGGCTCTTGAGTTTCATTCAGCTCCGAAGCAGATGACCAGTTGCGACAAGGGAGTGAGTCCTCCAATTTGGTGCCGGACATCACGGGCTCGAGTCCGGTTCGGCTCAGTGCTGCAAGCTGCTCTTCCGCTGCCCCATGAGCTCTGGGGGTTCGCGGTGGGAAGAGGCGAGAAGGGGCTCCGGAGCAGAAAATGACGTGAAAAGTTAAGGAGCCAATGCCTCCGGAGTCCTGTGCCAGGCAACTTCTGCCGCGCCTTTGGTGTCTTTGCAGGGCGGTTCTGTACGGAGGACCAGGCGGCTGAGAACCTAGGGACCTGGCCCTGGAGGCTGCAGCAGTGACACGGGAGGAGACGCTACCTCGGCTCGGCTTAAGCTCAATTACTCCTCATTCCAGCACTGAGTCCGCAGCCCGCAGCCTCCTCCCGCGCTGGTGGAGAGCTGTAGTGGGAGAGAAAAAAAAAGTAATGAAAATTATTTTAACCTGTTTCTCTGTGGGTCCAATCTCTGTTGTTTTTTTTTTTCCTACTTGTTTCTTCTGCGCTTCTCACCTGCAGTTTCTATAAACCACACATGTGTCTGTGAACATGGCAAGCCTGTCAACACATGGTTAACACAGGATGGATCGATATATTTGTCTCTGTAATGTAAACATAAAGGGAACGAGGAGGAGCCACGGTGTTCCTCCAGCAGGAGTAAGCAAAAGTCATTTCAGGCAAATATTTTAACATTATTTGGCTTTGCCAATGTAGCACTCGCTGAACCTTTAAGGCATCTCTTCCTCCAAAGTGGGAAATGAGACCCTATTTAAGGCATATTTAGTTAGAATTCGTATTCGCAATGGCAAGTGGCATATGAAATACAGCAGCAGATTCTTAAAGGACACGAAGGGTCATAAATGTGCTTATAGCTAATGTTGTCAAGCAAAGGAGACATGCCAAACAGCATGAAACAGATTCTCAGTAGGATGGAGTGGTGTATCCCTCTGGTGATTACCACACCCCGCTGGTCTTTCTTCTCATTAATTCAGGACTGATATCACCTGCCATTCTCTCATTATTTGCTTTGGTCTCTAAGAAAAGTATTTTGGGATTTGTCTGAGTTTGAGTCCAGGATTCTTTCATTCTCAATAAGCATGACAGGACTATTGTACTTGATTGATTATAATCTTGGACTTGGGAAGGACTTTAGAATCATCTACTCTAAACTTCAGCTTGACCTTAGAAGCCTTCTGATAACATTGCTGATGTGTCCCTACCTAGTTGGATGTGACCACCATGATTTATTACCTTAACCATATAGGACTGCTCTAAAGGTTAGAAAACTGTTCGTTACATTGAAACAAGGTCTTTAACCAACATTTGCCTTTCTCTGTCTTTTATACCCAAGTTCTAGTTTGCATGTTGGTGCTCCATGAAATAAATCTTCCACATAACAATTCTTCACTAGTTCAAAATAAACATCACAGTCCGCTCCCCTTTCCATGTTCCCTCCTTTCACTTTTTCTGCAACTATTTCCATTGTTTTTCAAATGACACTATCTTTACAACCTATATTTGCTTGGTCTTCCTTTAGAAAATTGTCATTAGGCTTTGCCAGTACAAAATGTCTACTACTATTTAGATGTAACCAATGTTTATATCCTATTATTTTTTCAAGTCATAAGACATTGAAGGTTCATACTGCACATTTAGTCAACACTGTACCCCAACCTCCAATCATAATTCTTCACATTTGTTTTGTTTATTATAGTTTATAAAACTCTGTTATACACATTATTTTAAAACCCTTGTTCACAGATGAGGAAACTATTCCTGAAAAAATTACATGATTGATCAAAGGTCAAACGACTACTTGGGGGAAAAACCATCCAGTTCTTCTGGTCCACGCTTGGTGCTGCTATTTTTTCTACAGATGTCGTATTTCACAAGAAATACTATTGTGGGATTAACCCATATTTCCCTAGTCAAATTTCTCTTTAAGAGAAGGAATAAATAGGCATTTTATTTTGGGGACATATATTTACTTGGTGATCCTGTTCCACTCCCAGTGATTCAAGTTAATCAAGGTTACTACTTTCATGCATTTTACTTTCCATTGATGTTAGAGAGAACACAAATAAACTAATAAATACATAAGAAAAATATTAGAAAGGGGTAAGTACTATGTTGAAAACTAAACAGGGTGAAATGGTGGTGAGTGTAGAATTCCAAAGGCCATATTAGAAATAGATAAATTCAAATAAAAAAAAAAGGCCTTTGTGAAGAGGTGACATCAAAGTAAGGTACCCAAATGAAATATGCATATATTAATTTAACTTTGTTAAACTTATGTTTAAACAAATCTTCTAAATGCTGACTCTATTACCCAAGGCATTAGCCATTTCTCCAGATCTCTTGTCATCAATACATTTGACAAGCAGGCCTTCTGTAGCTTCATTCAAGTACATTGATATAACTCTGCTAACTTTATCCTGTGGTATATGTGTTCCTCTGATTTATTAATATTTGTATTTACCTCCTCCATGTACTATTCTTTTCAAAATTGGGAAAGGTTGGCCCTGGCCGTTTTGGCTCAGCAGTTAGAGCGTTGGCCTGTGGTCCAGAGAGACCCGGGTTCGATTCCCGCTAAGGGCACGTACCTTGGTTGCAGTTTGTCCCTGGCCCTGGTTGGGTCCTGTGGGTGGTGACCACGCGATGTGTCTCTTTCACATCGATGCTTCTCTCGCTCTCTCTTTCTCTCCTACTCTATCTGAATAAAATGTGGGAAAATGTCCTCGGGTGAGGATTAAAAAAAAAAAAAAATTGGGAAAGGTTGTTACAACATTATCACCAATCTATATGCATTAATGTCTACAAGTTCCTTGTTGGTGACAGTTCATAAATATGGACCAGTATGCTATCTACTAAGGACCCAGTGCCCTTAGCTTTCACTTTGTAGCATTTCCACTTGTCTATGCTGCTCTTTCTGTCTTCTATCTGAAGTTCATCATCACTCTTTACTAAAAGTGTAAATAAGGAGAAGTAAGATTATTTTCAATACTTTTTTTCTGTTATCTACTTTATGTTATGACAAGCCTGGATTTATCTTGATCCTACACATTTTCTATTGCCTTCTGTCCATTATTTATCAGGTGATTTATTTTAAATATGTGGTACTCCAAGGCCATACAAAAATCCCACTCAAAACTTCAATTTATTATTTGTTTTATCTTTTGCAAACATATTAGAGATGATAACTGTGGCAGTACTCATTTTGATATGATCTCCTTCCTTAGATCTTTTGATGCCTTTTAGGACATTTGAAAGAATTTTTATTTTTGTAAATATTACTATTATCTTCCATTTTAAAGTCTGTCTGCTGGATGTTGGGAAAAGGATTCAGTTCAATAGCACAAGACAGTAAAGAAAATTGCAAATTGGTCCAGCTGGTGTAGCTCAGTGGTTGAGCATTGACCCATGCACTAAGAAGTTGCCAGTTTGATTCCCAGTCAGGACACATGCCCAGGTTGGGGCCCAGTTCCCAGTGGGGGGTATGCAGAAGGTGGCCAATCGATGTTCTCTGTTATTGATGTTTCTATCTCTCGCTCCCTCTCTCTCTAAAATCAATAAAGTTAAAAAAAAATTTTAAAAAAAGTTCCAAATTGGTCCAGTGATTACCTCTTAAGGTTGTCATAAGAATTAAATGAATTGATATTTTTAGAACTGTGTCTGTTACATAGAAATTGATCTGAAAAATGTTGAACAAAATGTAGAACTATATGCTGTCACTGTGTGAATATTGTTTGCTATACATATCAATTACACTAAGTGTTAAAATATTTTTTAAATGTAGCTCAAGCTCACAATAGTCTGAGTAATTCTGTTTAACTACCCAGCTTACATTTTTTTTCTGCTACTTTTATTTTAGCTCTCCCACTAACCTGAATACATTAAAAATGACAAAGAAAAAATAATAATACTTAACACTTATTTTTCTTTCTTTCTTGCAGTGATTGGAGTTAGGTTGCTCAGAGATCTCAGATTATATGGCCTGTCCCAGATTTTAAAAGCTTTTTTTTTTCTTTTTTTGATCCTCACCCAGGGGATATTTTTCCATGGATTTTCAGATAGAAAATCTCAGGAGGGAGGGAAAGAGAGAGAGAGAAATATTGAGGTGAGAGAGACACAGTGATTGGTTGCCTCCAATCATGACTCTGACCAGGGCCAGGAACCGAACCACAACCGAGGTATGTGCCTTTGACTGGAATCATACCCAAGAGTCTTTGGTTTGTGGACTATTGCTCTAACCACTGAACATTCAACCAGGGCAGATTTTACACTTTATCCCTGGTGTGAGATCCTATTTTTTGCAACTATATAATAACTTTATGGACCCATTGCAATAAATATTTTGGAGTATGTTCTATGTGCCCAGGAGTTTATCTCAGAACTGGAGGTAGAAAGATCAATAAGATATAATCCATCTTCAATGATCTTACAGTCCACTGGAGAATTAGATGAGAAAATCACTAGATTTCTAGGGTAGAGGGATATACAGTGCCATGAAAACATGAAAAATCACCTAACTCAGCCTGGAGAAAACCAAAATAGATGGCTCCCCTACAGGGAAAGTCATTCTTAAGCTGACTCCCTTAAAGCAAAGATTACTAAGTGGTTAAGAGTGGGATGTGTTCAAGCAGAGGGAGCGGCGTTTCATGGAGACTCAGAAGCAAGAGAAAACATGAGTGTAGGGGTAAATGCAAGGTAAAGTGAGCAAGGTCAGGCTCTTACAACCTCTGGCAGTGATGTGGAGAATGCATTAGAGAAGGGTAGACCAAAGATAAGGGTTCTAGGTAGTAGGCTATTAGAATGATCCTGCTGTCAGAAAGAAGGTAATGGTTATGGGAATTGTGGACAATTGGGTATTATTAAAAAATTTAATAGTTTTAACGGAAGTCATTCTGAATGCAGGCATCTTGTTTTATTACTTCCTTAAGGAAGGCTAACTCCATGGAAATAGTGTGTTTGAAGTTTGTGTTTGTGTCTCTGTATATTTTGAATAAATTGAAGAAAAAAACAGAGAGGCGTTCCACTGTTGACTTTCTGGTATTTGAAAAGACATTGTTATCCTTCCTTATTCTCTGTCAGAATGAAACTAAAATCAAATCTGAGCACTCTCCGTGATGACTCTATGAGCTTATTTATTTACCCAATAAATGCATTATTTTTCCTGGAAATTATCAACATCTCTAGGCTTCAAATACCACATTTTCTTACAATATAGCCTTGAGCTATCTCTTTCTGGAAAAGTCCCTGAATCATGGGGGACCTAGAAATCTAATTTTCAGATAAAAAAGGAGAAAAGACTTCTGATAACTTGTTACTATTAGGAGTGACTCTTGAATAGTTACTGAGAGTGAATAACCTCCTGCCCTAAAAATCTCAGACATTAACAAACCCATCTGT